GTTTGGGTCATAAGCGGGTCGGTTTATAAACGATTCGGATTATGTCGGTTCGGTTTGATACGGGTCGGTTAAGGGGGCGGGTTTACCCGGGTCAATGTCAGTTCGGTTTACAAACGGTTTGGATCAAGCCGGTTTGGTTTGAAATGGGTCGGTTTAGGGGCGGGTTTACCCGGGTCAATATCGGTTCGGTTTATAAACGGTGCGAATCATGTCGGTTCAGTTTGAAATGGGCCGGTTTAGTGGAGGGTTTACACAGTTCAATTGGTTCGGTTTATGAACGGTTTGGATCATGTCGGTTCGGTTTATAAGCGGTTTGGGTCATGAATTCATGATTGTTTTAAAGATCGCGTCATGACCATGATTTAATGAGTTGATACTTATAATACGATAAATCGATAATTAAGAATGTACAAGTATTCAATTAGATTGATCAACAAGTGTTTTAAACTTTTAAGTTTTAATGATCAGATATGTAAATATGTTTATCGATTGTAGTACATACCAATAATTCAATGAGGCAATGATACTTATGATAGTATGATAATGATACCAACCGTACATTCGTACGATATGATATACATAATAATTAATCTATAATTACATATACATTAACAATATCGTATTGAATCAATTTCCATTTCCAAACATTGCATTTCTTATAAATTATAACTTACACGAGATTAAATGGATTCGTTATTTAGTTTGTTACTTTATTTAGATTACTAACTCAAACAACTTAATAAGTTAAATGGACGAAATCACGAAATCACTAATTAAAATGGTGATGAAATCATTATGCAATACTAATGTACGAATAGTCAAATATACAACGGTTAGATTGAATGCCCATGAAAAACAATGGTTAGATTTTCATTACTTTATTAGTTATTAGTATTACTTATTAAGTTATTATTAGTTTATTATATATATATACTGATATACAGTCACAGACTCACAGATATATATAATATACATATAGAGATGTCAGTGATGTGCATTAACTCATTAAGTCATTAACTATGTCGTATTGTATCAATTTCAATTTTGAAACATTTGCGTTTCTTACAATTTATAACTTATAAGTAATAAACTAATAATAATAATAATAGTAATAATAATAATAATAATAAATAATAATAATAATAGTAATAATAATAATAATTATAATAATATTATAATAATAGTAGTAGTAAACTAGTAATAATAATAATATTAACAAATAATTATACTAACAATAATAATAATAATAATAATAATAATCCCTCAAAATAATAATAATAATAACTAATTAAAAAAACGGTCAAAAAGACCTAGAAAAGCACAAAGAAAAATCTAGACCGTTAGATCTAGATGAATATTCTGGAATCTACAAAAAAAAAAAAAATGAACGGTTAGATGTTGAGATTGAATATGGACGGTTAGATCAACTGAACAAGTAAAACCTAAACCTAGAAAAAAAAAAAACCCACTCTATCAGTCATTCAGCCGTTTTACTCACTCATAGTTTCTCTCTCTAACTTCTCAGTTTCTCACTCTTTCGTTCTGAAATTCTCAAGAATCTCAAGCTCAACTTCTCAACTATTAAAAATCCTAATTAGGGTGTTTGTTTTCGTTTCATTTGTGTTTTGGATCTACATTTCTGATTTCTCGCTTTACATTCTCGTTTTTTTGTTTTTTCAAATCTTCCTCTCCTTCAATTTGAAGGCTTCAAGCCGTCAAAAGTTCAAAACTCACGGTAATTTTTTGTTAATTTTTGTTGTTTTCGTTTTGATTTTTTTTCGTTTTTGTTTCGGTTTGTTTATTTAGGGTTTTTGTTTTCGTTTCATTTTTGTTTTGGATCTAAGTTCTGATTTCTGACTTTTTCATTCTCGTTTTTTTTTTCCAAATCTTCCTCTCCTTCAAGCCGTCAAACCTCAAGGTAATTATTTGTTAATTTTTGTTGTTTTCGTTTTGATTTTTTTCGTTTTCGTTTCCGTTTTTTACTTTTTTTATTTAGGGTTTTTGTTTTCGTTTCATTTTTGTTTTGGATCCAAAGTTCTGATTTCTAACTTTTCCATTCTCGTTTTTTTTTTTTTCAAATCTTCCTCTCCTTCAAGCCGTCAAACCTCAAGGTAATTTTTTTGTTAATTTTTTCGATTTTTTTCGTTTTCGTTTCGGTTTTTTTTTTATTTCAAGTTCTGATAATCTACATTCTTGATTTTTTCTTTTGATCTCCAGTTCAGGCAGTTCTCCATCTTCAAATCTCCTTCAAGCCGTCAAAGGTAATTACTTTTTCCTTTTCGTTTTTTTTTTAATACAGTTTTTCTGTTTTTGTATTTGATTATTGTTGTTGTTCTTGCTTGAATATAGTCGAAATATGCCTAAAATCTGTTGTTGATTGTATTTTTGTTTTTTACGGGAAAATGGTAGATTTGTGCTGTTTTGTTGTTTATTATGCTCGATTTAAAAGTAATGATGATGGGTTGTTCAGATTATGTGGTTATTGGCTTTTTTACCTAATAAAAGACCAAATTGTGTCACTTTCTGCAGTTATGTGCATAAAATAAATGCTAGTTTAGGGCTAGTAAAATAAACATCTCATGTTTATTTATAGGTTCATAATTTCATTGGAAACTTTTGAAAAAGTTTAAGCTTTTCTTATGTATGCTTTTTTCTTTTTGAGGATATAGGGGTAAACTTTTGCCAAAGAATGTTGAGGCATTGGTTACCACCCAAAATTGGTGCCGTGGTTATCAAGCGGATGTTGAGGAAGACGTCCTCCTTATTGGTAAAGAGATTGAAGCCGAAAGTGCTTCATCTGCATAACTGGTATTTGTGTCTCATTGTGGTTTATTTTATCTTGAAAAATCGTTGCCCTTGTCATTTATTTTCAGACTTGCTGGCAGCATTTTTCAAGACTTTTAAAATCGTTGTCCTTGTCATTTATTTTCAGACTTGCTGGCAGCATTTTTCAAGACTTTTAAAATCGTTTCCCTTGTCATTTATGTTGAGGCTTAAATAGTTAAATGTATTTTGGTACTTGCTGGCAGCATTTCTTAAGTTTTTGTTAAAACAACCATTGCTCAGTGATGTAAATCTGAGAGCAATTTTAAAAAAACAAAAGCTATAATTTTGAAGTTGCTTGAACTTGTTATGAGCTGCTGCCTGCTGGTAGTGCTTTTGCCTTTTGGTTGTTGTCTCTGCTCAGTTGTTATTGCCTATATTGTTGCCTGCATGAGCTGGTTCCTGCCTCCTGCCAGCTTGAGGTGATGTGTTGCTTCCTTTTGTGTTATGAATTTATGATAAGTTTTGTTGCTGTTGTTTCTTATGCTTGCTGTTTTAATTTTTATTGAATCATCGTTGCCCTGAGACTTCAATGTATATGTACTTGCTGGCAGCATTTTTCAAGTTTTAAGTTAAAACAGCCATTGCTCAGTGATGATACGATAAACGTAAATCTGAGAGAAATTTTGAAAAAACAAAAATAAGTTCATGTTGAGTCCCTTCTGCTTATATTATTCCTTGCTTCTGATAAGTTGCTGATCTGTTATTCCGTGTGCTGGTTCCTGCTTGTTGCTGCTATTTCCTCTGCTCTTGGGTGCTGTGCTGCTGCTTCAAGATTCTGCTTCAAGATTCTGCTCCCAAATCACTCACATTCTCACTCCTCCCTTCATCTTATAATGTATCATTTTTTGCAACCCTAAACTTGATGATGTTTCAGTTGATAAATCTGAAATCTAATCTAGGTAGTAGTGATAGTAGTTTCATTATGTAATGGTATATGTATTGTGAATTTTACTCAATGAAAATGGTGATTTTTTTTAATTGCTTGTTGATATTACTCTAATTTCAATGCTATTTATCTGCTGGATTTGTGGTAATGTTATGAAATAATTGTGGCTACAGATTTGGGATGCCTCCGTATTTATTAAAATTCTTTTACTTAATATCTGGTTTAATATAAGAAAAGCTAAAAAAATGTGTTTTATAAACATTTTAGTCCTCCCCTTTACAAAATACTTGTATAAGAAAGTTTTATGAAGTGATAATGTGAATGATTGTACGCCTTATTGACTAGTACAGTAATATTCTAATGCTCATGCCACTTGTGTAACGCAATCTCATACATCTCCAATCTTATGTTACCTTTGAGGCTTTGAGTGTTATTGGATGATCATGAATATCAAGGAACAATGAAGATAATTTGGGTGGACTAGCATTATTACTGGAATGAAAATGACACAAATGATATATCTTGTAATTAAAATAAATAAGTAATCTAAAACGATATTAATAATGTCGTTGGCCTAGATCTAGGTGATATAAACCTTTGTATAAACCTAAGCCGTTTACTTTGATCTACATTTATTAACATTAATTGTATTTACTATTTAGCCATTTAGGTTGTAAATAATTCAATTTGAGTTAAGCAGTTTGTAATCGGATCAGTTTAAACAGGTTGCGATTCGAAAACAGTTCGATTTTAACGGTTTAACGGGTTATGGCAGTTCAGTTTAGACGGTTAGCGGATTATAACGGTTCGGTTTATGCGTGCGGTTTAAACGGTTTCGGTTCATAAACGGGTCGGTTTAAACGGTTAGCGGGTTACAAATGGTTCGGTTTAAACGGTTTTTTTTCGGTTTAAACGGTTTCGGTTTATAAACGGTTCGGGTCATTAACGGGTTTATAAACCATTCGGTTCGGTTTCGTTTCGGTTCGGATTTGCGCAGTTTGGTTTGTTATCGGTTTACGGTCCGTAACGGGTTGACATTGAGCGGTTCAATTCGGTTTCGGTTTGATATTGAACGGTTCAGTTCGGTTTTCGGTTTATATTTATCGGTTTATAAACGGATCGGTCTGTGATGGTTCGGTTCACGGTTCGGTTTGAAAAGTCCCACCCCTACGTATAAATCACAAATACGGTCATAGAAATGTGTATTAATAGTGCTAATTCAAAACTTGTCAACTAAAAACACGGAAGTATTATATTGACTTGCTGTATTTGTTCTCAATGCTGACATATGAAAGACAGGAGATGGCCAGAATACTTGAACTACGGTATACCTCTATATAAAGCTGCACTACGGGGAGACTGGGAAGCTGCTAAACAAATCTTGTCCGTACATTCAGAATGTATTGCTGCAAGGATCACAAATAGGGGTGATACTGCTCTGCACGTCGCCGCTGTTGCAAGGCGCACCGAGTTTGTGTCACGCTTGTTGACGTTAATTGTACCCGAAAACATTCACCTATTAGCTCTGAAAAACAACATTGGAAATACAGCACTTTGCCTAGCTGCTGCTTCTGGTAATGTTGCAATTGCAAAGATGATGTTTCATCATGACAATGAGCTGCCACTAATTCGCGGAAATCAACGTTTGACACCCCTTCATATGGCCGCTTTGCTAGGCCATCGGGAGATGGTTATATACCTCTTACCCCTCACCTTGATACATCTCTCACATGAAGAACGCGTTTTTCTTTTTATAAGCACAATTAATACTGATTTATATGGTATGTCATCCACTCGTCTTACAGGCCTGCAGTCGTAGCGCGTATATATTTGAGCACATCTTTTATTTATAATTGATTTAAACTATGTTAAATGATCAAATGCAGATATATCTCTTGAGATGTTAAGTGATCATCCAGAATTGGCAATAGCTCGGGATGAGAACAGCAATGAGACACCACTACATGCACTGGCTACAAAGCGTCTGAAGTCATATAGAACTCAACTCGGAAAATTCTGCATTAAATGTCAATACCCTTTGATGATAAGTTAATGTATTTTAAGAGATTTTTGAATTATTGGCTTTCTGTGAATTGAAAGTTGACGAGAATTTACACCAGTAACAAGTCTAAAAGAAATTATATGCCAAATTCAATTGACAATTTACAGAGGATTTAGAAGTTTAGTGCCTTTTAGGCTAGTTTGGCAACATATTTTAGATGATTAAATGTGCTGAAATATAATGACACTTCACAAAATTGAGTTATTATTTACAAGCACCTTAAAATTAGTGTTACTTTGACTATCATATCGTGTTGGCCTATGTAGCAGTGAATTTATAAAGTCTGATTTCAATCCTTATATCTAGTTAACATTTTCGGAGGCAACGAGGAAACTATTCGACAGCATAAAGCTTTTCAAATATTTCATATTGCTGTTAAATATCGCCGGGAGAAGATATTTAGGCTGATATATGATATTGGGGCCATTAAGGATTTGCTGGCAATATATGTGGAAGCTGAGACCCATAACAACATGCTTCACTTGGCTGCTGTGTTACCGCCTTCAGATAGACTTAATAAAACTGTATCTGGGGCTGCTCTTCAAATGCAGCGCGAAATGCTGTGGTTCAAGGTGAGTAAGTTCTCATCAGTTCAGTGAACATTAGTATAGCTCAAATATTAAAGAGGATGCCCCAGTTTTTCATGGTGAGAAACAAATTTTATTTCTCACATGGCATTTTCGTAAATAAACCAACAACTTTATTCAACTTTATTTAACCGTGAGCCCACAATAATAAAAAAAGTTGTTGATTTATTCACGAAAATGCCCCCATGATAAACAAATTTTGTTTCTTACCATGAGAAACAGGGAATTTCCCAATATTAAATCAGAAAAACTAAAAAATTCATGCTGTTTCTCTTAACTTATCAGGTAGTTAAAAACCTTGTACCTCAACTTGCAGAAGATGAAAACGCTGCAGAGAAAACACCATGTGCTTTATTTACAGAAGAGCACAAGAAATTGAGGAAAGAAGGAGAAGAGTGGATGAGAAAGACAGCTAGTTCTTGCAGTGTTGTTGCAACTTTAATCGCAGCTGTAGTTTTTGGGGCTGCATTAAAAGTGCCAGGTAGTGATAATGGAGCACCTGACGACGACCCTTTGAGTCATGGGGGGTGGCTTTGGGTGTTTGCAATATCAGACTCCCTATCATTGGTGTCATCAACTGCTTCGATCCTAATGTTCTTGTCGATCTTGACCTCAAGATATGCAGAAGAAGATTTTCTACAGTCATTGCCTCGCAAGCTAATCATAGGCCTTACCTTGCTTTTCATTTCTATAGCAACTATGATGATTGCCTTCACTGCGACGTTTAACATCATTTTTAAGCATGGTTTGTTGTGGATTGGCACTGCTGCTTTAGCATGTATACCCATTGTCCTATTCGCGGTACAAGAATTTCCTCTCTTACTAGAGGTTTATCGTTCTACTATTGGAAATGCTTTCATTTTCAAGCCTCAGCATCAGCTCTTTTGTGAGGTTCATCTTCCAAATAATTAGAGCAGAGAAAGCAGTCAGACTAATTAACTACAGTCAGAACATTGTTTTTTTAAAAAACAAAACAAAACAAAACTTTGGACAATGATTCTTGAAATTCTTAATTATTTTTAATTAAATTATTATTGTTTCAAGTATTACTACCTCTAATCCTTAATGTAGAAAACATAATAAACATGTAGGAACTGAGATAGTAATTAAGAATAATTTCTTGTTTTATTTCTATTATTGAATCTACTATTTCAACAAAGGGTGAGGTCTTTTTCTGTTAGTTGCAGTATTTAAAAAAATAAATAAATAAAATCCTCATCCACTCTAAACTCCCACCCTTCCTCCCTATAAGCTCTGTTCTTTTCATTTTACTAGTACTACAATAAAATTCATAAAACGACCACTAAATATTCAACACGTAGCAATTTTAATCGGCTTACTCGAACATAATAAGTTAACTACTATTTTAAGGATCTCCAAAGACGGACCGCTATGTGTTAATCTATAGTGGGGACCTTTTAAAGAAGAATGTCAGTGGTTAGGACAACTTTACAAGAATAATTATAACAGCTAAATTAAGACGGCGACAGTATATCAACATTTGCAAACAGGAAGGGGAAAAGCCACTGGGCTCACTAATGTTTTTTAAAGCTACGACAGTTAGTTGTAATCACAATCTAATATTCTTACATCAAGGGTTACACTTTAACAAGATATAACTCAATAATAATCATCATAGTTTTTAATCCTAACTATGATGATTAGTTTTAACACGATTACATAGAACTTTGTACATATGCTACTAAATTTCTACTAGTTAAAGCTACCAGAATTTGCGTTGTTAGCCAATGCTAACATAAAAACTCTGTAATCCCCTTCAGGAATGGCTTGACATATTGTATCTCTAAGTTCCACCCCATATTTCTTCCTGAATACCTTTTGAATATCACCCATATCGATCTCAGCTCGGCTCACCATCAACCGCGTCAAGGATCCGTTGTTCGTATCCTCGCCTTTCATCATGCAACTTTGCAACATCTACAAACACAAATTAAACAGCCACAACTCACTATATGAAATTAAAACATATATAAGACCTATTTTATTCATCTAAATTTATATACCTTGGCATAGTATTTGGGAGGGTCTTGAATGCAATCAACTAAATTTCTCAATGAGTCCTCAAATTGTGTCGAATTAACCTTCTTGAGTTGCTGCATTGTAATACAAAGGCTGGTATGTTAGGTTCTGTTAAGTAATGCTTATATATGTAACGGAAAGTTGATGGTTGAAGTAAGATTAAGAGGTAGTTGTACCACCTTAGTGTAACTGTGGCCGAAGATGCGTTTATACGACGAAAAGGTGAGTTTAAGCTGAGGAATACTTCTTTTACTTAGAATTTCAAGAACTACAGCTTGATTAATGCACCCTGAACTTGCTTCCCCTGTTTGATAGAGCCTCATTGCATCACATTTTGCTATGTCTTGGCTCACATCAACATTGTGAGCTTGATGAGATGTTGCCAATGCTACCAAAATCTATAAACCAATTTAAAAAAAAAAAAAAAAAAAAAAACCATTCCATAAATTTTTTTTGTATACAGCGAGTCTGTTACACTATTGTACATATTCTTTGCTGGATTGATTCAAAGTAGTTGCTATAATTTAGGATAGGAACATGTTTTGTTAGTTGCAACACTCAGTATTGCAATGTACTTCAACTTGAATTCGACATATTTTGATCTCATCAACACGAACATTCTTATGTACAATTGACCACTAGAACTTATTATGTTGAATCTGAAGTCACATGACTCGAATCTAGATTAGTCGGAAACCAACTTTAAAGGAATATGTAGTTTGATTGTCAATTTTTTGCCGTCCTATAACTAAGGCCTTTAGGGGCTTTCCTAGGGGGTTTGGCATAGTGCTAAATTTTCATCCTAGTAGTTGATTTACTAGGCCATACAACATACTAGTGATTCATTATTAATCGAAAAGGATTGGTCATAATTTGTTGATGTCCTTTCGACAATACTATTGTTATCATGCTACTTCATTGATTTGTTTACTTCTTTCGTTGAAAAATTCATCCCATCATTATTTGCCTTTTTACTATATAGCTATTTCTTTTTCAGGAATGGTTTTTAAGAGAATCTTTTGAAATGTTTTTTTTTTTTTACTTTTAGTAAATTAGCACTTACAATAAAAAGTTCCATGCATTCTAAGGTAGTCTTATGTCAATGAATTTCACCTAATTAACTTTACGAGTAAAACACGTAACGAATCACCTCTTAAGAACATAAAAAGTTCTTCAAAAAATAAAAAGTCACTCAAACATAACACTCCGTATGAAAAACTATTTAATAGTAAAAGAAATCAACGGTTAAAAGATACATGAAACTACCCAACACTTTTTTGGTGAAAAAAAAAGAAACATTAGGCAATACCCATACACTCAAGTTCGGACAATTTTGTGTAACCTCCTCTGATCCCTCAGCCTCTCTTCCCACATATTCAAACACGAACCAATTCAACTCACAAAAGGTTGTATATGTTGTATAGTATACTCTTGTCTTTAATATTTATTTATTTTTGCTACATTTTCTTTTTCTACAATTGAAGTTCTAAACTTCTGATCATAATGTTCCATTACATCAAAAAAAAAAAAAATAAAAAAATAAAAAAAATAAAAAACACCGAAAGGGAGTAACTTCATTTATATATTTACTCCATATTTTTAAATACAAGACGTAACTTCTATAATTTTTATTAATAAACCATTAGAAATATTAATGCCAAAAAAAGAAAGGGATCCGAGTAAGTTATTTATTATGCCTTATGTGAATAAAATAATAATACCAACCAAACAACACGTTCTAAAGATAGTGTATAACAGAAGAAAAAATCAAACAATATAATACTCAATTTCATTATCATTTAAAGTATAATCAGCAAAAAAAATACAAATTAATTTGTGAAGTAAGCATACATACCTTTTGGCAAGGATGAGGAGGTTCTAAGTTGACAATATCATGATCAAGTTGCCTCTTAAACCTATTTTGATAAGCCTGTTTAATCATAAGAATATGACTTGATTTCCTACCAACAAAAATTTCAACCAAAGCCTTAAAATCAGTCTCATTTTCTTCAAGTGAATTCTTAGCAAAACAAGCATCTCTTTCCCATGGATCAACCATCCATAACAACAAGGCCTCACATGTCGCGACCGAGAATTTAGTCTCCTCATTGCTTGATTTACCACTCAACATCATCTTAACCCTTTGCAAATGACTCAATAAATCTTCATTATACATTGCTTTATAAGTCTCCCTTATTTCCCTCCTCTCGGCTTGTGTTGATCGTGTCGCGAGTGTTTGTACCATGGTGCTTAGCCTCCCCCATGACTCGTAAATCGCCTTACAATCACTCTCATAGGATGAACTTTGGTTCTTTGAGTAGTTTGGGTTAGCCATTTCTTTAAACTAAGCTTACAATAATATGTTACGGTTTTTTAAGGGTTGTTTTGGCTAGTGAGTTTGCATTTATGTGAGTATTTATAAATGTACTTGGGGTGCAAGGAAGGAATATGGCTTTTAAAAGTAAGTAGGATCCATTATAAAAGGGGGGAAAAGAATGATGGGTTATAATATGAAAAAATAGGGTTGGCCTAAAAAATACAGATGGACTAGAATTGGCTTCTAGTGAAAGTTTTGTGACTTTCCTAGTAGACAATGACTATGATGAGTGTGTAAATGTGTAATGAACGCTTTGTAGAAAGAATTGTTATTAGACTTTGTACACATTTCAATTTCTTAATTGACTGTCCCTCTTCTGCTTTTCAGTTTGACTTGTTGACCCTCATCACATGCCTTTTAGTCAATTCCTTACTCCAAAATACTTGCAATATACTTGATTTAGACGCTGATATTATAAGTGTCAATGCAGGTATTCGAATAAAAGTGAGATAAATTTTCCAATTTTAGAGGATTTTGGGATCGATTATCATCTTCCGTTGTGGGCCTTGTGGCTATCAAAATAAATATATAAATAATCAGGTGTACTGATGAAGTTCATTGAAGTCGGGTCGAGTCCGGTCTATTTTTAAACTTGATTATCTCTTCCTCAGTTTTTTATTTTTATTTGCATCATTTGGCAATACACAAAGTTTTAGGATAGTAATATAATATTGTGAGTGGGTGAATAAATTATTATAGTATAAGTAATACTCCCTCTTTTTTTAAAAAAAAAAATACATCACTTTCCTTTTAAGGGTGTTTTTTTTAAATACACCACTTCCCTATTTGGTAACTTTATATTATATTTTATCATTTCTCTCTCTTACTTTAAACCCCACTTAAATTATTTTATCATTTCTCTCTCTTTCATAGTCCCTACTTATATAATAAATATATTTACACTCCCCACACTTTTTCTCTTTCATGGTCCCATCTAACTTTTACTATAATAAATTATTCACCCACTCACAATATTATATTATCCTCTTAAAACTCCGCGCATCACCAAGTGATGCAAATAAAAAAACGGAGGGAGTATGAGAACTTTAAAAAAAAGTATGTGAGAGATGATACTCCCTCTGTGTTTTTTTAAGTGTTACACTTTGACCGGCACATAGTTTTAGGCAATTTAATTGACTTAAATAAAATACTTCCTCCATTCTTTTTAACTTGACCCGCTTTGACTTTTACACTATTCACCACCCCTCCTTTGACCGTGTTTTTTAAATAATATGTAAGGAAAAACATATTTATGTTGGATCATTTTGAATTCGATCGTCTCAATAAATACTATAATAATATATAACTTTTTTTTTAATTATGGAGAATTAAAGTTATTAACCGTTAAAATTTTGCATTGACAAGCGTGATAAAAGAAACAGGTCAAGTAAATTAGAATAGAGGAAGTAAGAGATAAGTGGGGTAGTTGGAGTATTAAAAAATTATAAAAAAAAGATAGTGAGATTAATAGTTTATTGAAAAGTAATGAATGTGAGAAGAAAGATATGATGAAAAAATAGAAGTGGGTTTGATTGGGGACCATGAGAAGAGAGAGATATAATATTTTACTGTAGTATTTTGCCAAAAAAAAAGGAAGTGTAACACTTAAAAAAACACAGCCGGAAAAATGAAAAGTGTAACACTTAAAAAAACACGGAGGGAGTATATATTTTTATTATTCAAGTGGGGATCATGGAAGAGAAAGAAATGATAAAATAATTTGAGTGGAGTTTAAAGTAAGAGAGAGAAATAACAAATTTATAGTATAAAATTATCAAATATAGAAGTGATGCATTTAAAAAAACATCCATAAAAGGAATGTGATCGAATAAAAAAAACGGAGGAAGTACTAAATTATTGTATCCACACGAGTCAAAATTGGAATTACAGATGTGATTTTGACACCTCTATGTACTATTCATATATGGAGTATTAACTTTGACTACACTTAAGAAAATCCATCAATTGTTAATCGCGAATCATGTAAATATTTTGGCAAATATGATTAGTAAAGCCCTTCGCCTTAAATCATATTTAGTATTAATAATTTCAGTCAGTTAAAAATAAAAATTTTAGTTCAATAAAAATAAGTTTAGTTCAATAAATCTAATTTCAGCTAAGTAAAAATAATTTTTAATCAGTAAATTTAAATAAGAAATATAATACAACATCAAAAAAATAAGTTTTTATCAATAAAAGTAACTTCAGTTCAGCAAAACTAATATAATTAAAAATAATTATGTTCAATAAAAATAATTTCTACGGTACTTAGCAAAAATAAGGGAAAGGAGACAGGGTCAAAATGGATAGTACGAGTCGTCACTCCGGCCCTGCAACATAGTAAGGGCATGTTCTCATTGACTGAACTCAACTGAACTGAACTAAACTGAACTGAAATGAATATTTTATAAGAGAAGGAAATTAAGAGCTAAACTGAACTGAACTGAAATGAAAATAAATGTATGAGAACAGGCCCTAAGTGTGTAAATATATTACTTAAATTACAAATGTAATAATAAAATGGTAAATGAGTAGAGTTGCATACTTGCATAGTTGCATTGTTGGTAGGAGTGTTCAAAAAAACCCGACCCGATTTCCCGATGACCAGGTAAATACCCGATGGGAAATTTGAGGAAAGAATGTTTTTTCGGGACGGGTATCTGACTCGGGAAAATTACATGTTATCCGGGTCGGGATATGGGCCACATTTTTAATACCCGGGTACCCGAATTCCCGAAAATAAATTAATATTTAAAAAAAATCGCTACTAAGGGTCTAAGCCCAGCCCACATGCCCCTTCTGTTTTGATTTTTGAAACAAACTTAGGGTTCTCCGCCGCTCTCTATCTCCCTGCCTCTCTCTCTTCCTGCCTCTCTCTTCCTTCCTTCCTTCTTCTTCCTTGAGTTCTTCTCTGTTCTTCCTACTTGTACAACTTTACAATGTCACCACTACAACTACGACAGTACAAAAAATTTCCCAGAAAGATTGAAACTTTCACATCCCAATATCTCAGATTTCGGATTTCCTACGTGCTACTTCACACAACAATGTTGAGGTGGTCGGCGTTGCAGTGCGTTCTATGTTGCAACTTGCAAGACATGCAAAAGTACCTTGGGAGCAAATTAACTGCACTTTCTAATTATACTTTCTAATATAATTTATTGTTGCAAGACTTACTTGCAATTTCTAATTAGATTTTTTTTCCTTTTAATTCTTTGTATATTTCAAATTTTATTATTGTTATTGAAACAAAGCTTTGTGTAATTGGTTATTTTGTATTTTGGTTGTTTGATTGTGTGGAGTTTGGGTAGTAGATCTAAATTGTTTTTCAATGTTTTAACTTTTGGGAGCAAATTAATTACAATCAATCAAAAATTCGGGTACCCTATATCCCGACCCGAATAATTCGGGTACCCAGAACTCGGGTACCCGAGATATTCGGGTCGGGACATGGGACAAATTAACAAGTACCCGGATTTGAACACCCCCCTAATTATTGGTGGTAAGGTAAATATGAAGATAAGTGAGTAAAAATGTCACAAGTACTTCAAATAAAAACGTTACTAAACGCCCAAAAGAGAAACCTAAAAATAGAAAAGGAACATACTAGACAAAATGATCTAAACATAATTTTTTTTTTCTTCTTACCAATTGGTTGTTGGTGTAATGGTGATTGAGACTACACTTGGTAGGAGGGAAGACTCGTGTTCGATCCCCCGCAACAACAGTCGGGAGGGGATTAAAACCTAACCACCAAAACTGATCTCTAAATCCAAATTAACCCAAAGGGTGAAGCGGGTGGAATACCAAAAAATAATAATAATCTAATCTAATATATATAAATAAAGTAGGTATTTTTCGGGAGCATTTGACACGCCACATAAGAAAAGTTATTATTTAGACCAATGAAATTTTGCCACCTAGTTAAAAATAACGAATAGTGAACAATTAAATTTAAATTATTTTAAAAAACTAATAATTATCTTTTTTACATATATAGATGTAAATCTTTTATCATAAATATCTTTAATCTCTCCCTAGCAAATATTATAAAAATTAGATATTAAAAATGTACTCATCAAAACAAATAAAACTAAATCTCATATCACTATGTTTTTCCTTATATACAAAGAGAAATTTAGAAGATTCCCCCTAATTTTTTTAATAGTTAAAAGATTTTAGATGAGACTAAAATTTTGAAACAGAACGAGTATATAAAAAAACGCATTTGCAAAGGACTTATTTTAATCAATAAATAAAATGATTTGTCATTTATTTTTTATTAAGCAAAATTAAAGAATAAATAAACCTACGAAAGATAACTTTAGTGTTAAAATTTAAATAAAAAAAATCTTATGATAATAGGAATTTTATTCAAATATCCGATGAATGATCTTCATATAAAAAAAAATCTTAAATTTATAAAAAAGATTTACTAGAACCGTGCATCGCACGGGCTTATATCTATTAGTAATAATAATAATAAATTTTTTTCTTCATATGATTAGCCTGAAGAGTACGTGTGATTAACTACTCGATCAATTATTTATTTAACTTCGATTTTCTATTCTTCCTTTTTCTCCCTGATGTATGTAGTTTTTCAACTATTGACAATTGACACATTAATCAAATTAAAAAGATTTGTATGGTTCAAGGAGCTTGCAGGATTACATGTACATCTCCAAGGTCAACTCTAGGGCAAGCTGATCAATTTTCATGCCAAAAAATATATACTTATTGCAATTATAAATACTAATAATAGACATATGCTACTATTTTTATTGGTTGCTTATTGCTTGTGTGTATCAAACATTTAAATGTTACATGAAGTCATGAAAATGTCATTCTTCATCCAGCTATTGCATGCTTTTACAAATACAATCAAGGTATGTTACAAACTATGTAAAGGTTCACATAATGTAATTCTAGATTAGCCCCATGGTATGCACGATTTTAAAATAAGAAATGAATTATAGAATCTTTGGCACAACACATGTTGAGTGAAAACAACTACTTTCTCTGTAGTACTTTCTAATTAAATATGAAAATACAATTTCTAAAAACCCTTTTTTTTTTATCGGATCAATTAAACTATATTATTAACTATTTTTAGCAACTACTTGTAAATAATAAAATTGCGTAATATGCTTAAAAAACTTAAAATTTAAAGTTCAATTTGAATTTAATTTTTAAAACAGTGTTAAATATGGTAGC